TGGAAAAAGTGTCTATATTGTTAATTTTTTCAGCAAGAAGGTCTCTCTTTTGCTCATCTTCAAATGTTATCTTTCTGATAACTTTTGCTTTAATCACACCAGATTGTGATATTTTCTGTAAATAATCCATAATCTTTACTATGCCTTGCATCACATTATTTGCTAGAACACAGGATGATGGTACCTCTTCTCCAAGACCTTGTTCAGATAGCAACTCCTGTCCAAAGTTCTTCTTCTGATAGAATTGGAAACACATCTGTGCTTCTACAATACTATGTTCTTCGGCCACAGTATGATATGACAATTATTTCCTTATGTGTCTATGCTAAATGTACACTTCCTGAGTTATCCATCATTATGATGATTCACAGGAAAAATAAAACAGGGGTAGCCCTATGGCCTGGTGGTTAAGGGAGCTGGATTCCATATGACCAACCATGGCTCACATTCCAGTCCTAGTGGCTTGACAAACATCCTGGGTGCATGGGAATGTGTGCTGCAAATTGCAACAGACTGGAGTAAAGGAGATCATACTCCACTAGCCGTTATTTCCTCCCTCTCCTTCTCCGTGTCTCTGTCTCTGCTGAGTACCCATACCTTCTGGCAATTAAATAACCATAAAAAATTAATAGCTATGATATAAGTGCTTATGATATGCCTCTCTTATAGACTTTATAGGAATTAGAGAAAGTAAGAAAGCAAGTGACCAGGTCCAGGACTCAGACCATGGCTGACCATGTGGGAGTATAGGTATTAACAAGCATACCACCTGCCTGCCTTCTCTAGTGATTTCAGTAATTAAATCTCACTGAGCCATATGAACAGTGGAAAATTACTTCAAAGAAACAAAAGATGTAAACTCGTGAGCCTTTTCTAATAAGCACATTTATCATATTTCATATGGAGACAATAGCCCAAATTCATTGCTCACAGTGCTACCAAGGCTTGAGCAAATTTTTAGTAAATATCCAAGACATGATTACCACGTTCTCAGGACCTTAAAATCATTCTACTACGGTGTTAAAAGCATCCAGAATGCTTTGGTCTTGGAAAAAGTGTCTATATTGTTAATTTTTTCAGCAAGAAGGTCTCTCTTTTGCTCATCTTCAAATGTTATCTTTCTGATAACTTTTGCTTTAATCACACCAGATTGTGATATTTTCTGTAAATAATCCATAATCTTTACTATGCCTTGCATCACATTATTTGCTAGAACACAGGATGATGGTACCTCTTCTCCAAGACCTTGTTCAGATAGCAACTCCTGTCCAAAGTTCTTCTTCTGATAGAATTGGAAACACATCTGTGCTTCTACAATACTATGTTCTTCGGCCACAGTATGATATGACAATTATTTCCTTATGTGTCTATGCTAAATGTACACTTCCTGAGTTATCCATCATTATGATGATTCACAGGAAAAATAAAACAGGGGTAGCCCTATGGCCTGGTGGTTAAGGGAGCTGGATTCCATATGACCAACCATGGCTCACATTCCAGTCCTAGTGGCTTGACAAACATCCTGGGTGCATGGGAATGTGTGCTGCAAATTGCAACAGACTGGAGTAAAGGAGATCATACTCCACTAGCCGTTATTTCCTCCCTCTCCTTCTCCGTGTCTCTGTCTCTGCTGAGTACCCATACCTTCTGGCAATTAAATAACCATAAAAAATTAATAGCTATGATATAAGTGCTTATGATATGCCTCTCTTATAGACTTTATAGGAATTATGTGATTATCACAACTCAGCTATTATATTCACTTTACAAATTTAAAAAAACATATGTAACCAAGTTCACACAAATATGAGGATGACGGTTAAATAATTTAAATCTAGGTCAACCTGACTTTGTAGCCTAGAAATTTTTAAAATTACTACACTGGGATATATCCCAGTGTTTGACACTCGGGTTTTTAACAAATATTTTCTGAATTGTGTTAAAAATTAAACTTAGAGATCATATTGGGGAGCACTTTGTTGTAGCTAGAGTCAAATAAGTATACATTGCAAATTAGTGAGGTCTAGATTAATGAGGCCTAGGCAGAGTTCTGGTGGTGCTGTTAGCAGATGCTATTATGAACTACTATTATAGCTAATAATAATCATAATTACCGTCTGAACTATGTGTCCTGGTTACATAATTTTCTCTGACTCAGCCGAGAGCACGAAACTGGACAAAGACATGGTGTTATCTACTGCTTATAGTTGCAGTTATTTTAGACAGTGAATTGTTGAAAGAAAACTAAATTCCAACTCTGTTTTTTGGTCACCTAAGATAAAAATAAAACCATTAAAAAAGATGAGACTTTAGAGTCTGTTTAAAGATATGTTTGCATTTATTTTGCACTTACCTCACAGTAAAAAATAATTTTCTTACTTTGTTCTTTAAGCGATTAAGAAGGTTTGAAATTACTGTGCATTGTGAAGTGAGAAATGGGGACTTAAAAATAAACAGATGTTAGGTCAATTGGGAGAGGGACAGATATACAATAGGTCAGGGAATGTGATTAGATAATAATTCAGTGACACAGAGCAAAGAACTTGTCCTTGCACCTCTCTGATAGGAGAACACAATAATAAGAAGGGAGTATATCTGGTACCTACAGATGGCATAGCAGTTACATTGCTGGACTCCTACATGGTCAACCACAATTCAAGTCCCAGACCCAGTGGCTTGAAACTCACACCTGGTGTGTGTGCATGCATACCCAAGATCCCATGAGGATAATGGAGAAGGAATTGTGGCATGGCCATCTCTCCTGGGGGGTGATTTCTTGCTTTTTCTCTCACTGTTTCTGTCTCTCTCTCTGATGAGTACATGCACCCTAAGGCAAAACCCTCTTTAAAAAATTAGCAGGGAGGGACATACCTATAGACTCTGAGCCTTATTTACTGGTGGGCAGAGTCATCACAAACCCAAGATATTCTTTTCCTTGTTTAATTTTAAGTGGTGGGAAAATAATAGATTTGAGAAGAGGAGAAAACCTTATTTTGGATGTGAGGCTACATGATGAGATATTGTTTAATGTACAAGAAAGTTCTGCATTAAGAATTATTATCAACAGACTGGTAGGTATACTATTGCCCAACTTCCTATTTACTGCACACACACACACACACACACACACACACACACACACACAAACATAAGTTTTTGAATTATTATTGTATATTAATAAACATATAGAGAGTTTACTGGATCAAAATAAAATGTGCATAGTCTTGTAACCTCCAGCAACCTCACCTTACTCTCTAACATAATCTTTTCAGAAGCGCCAACCAAAAATAGCACATTTCTGTGAAGACTACCTTCTCTTCACTTCCAATAATAATAACTTATCTGTCTCCCATATATACTCATCCCATTTTGCAAAAACCTGTTTAGATGCAAGGTTGCTATTTTTGTCTCAAGCATGAGGGATTTGCTTTATAAACATGTTAAGATTATTTTGACTTCAATAGAAAGAAGCCCAACTTGTGTTAACTTAGGCAAAATGGAGGATTTATTGGAAACATCGTGTAGAATCCAACTGAACTATGGACACACAAACCATAGGGAATAAATAAATGAATCTAAGCTTCAGAATCCACAAAGCTCAGGGACCTCACCCCCACTAGGTGTCTCTTTGTATAACTTTTTCCTTCTCTTCTTTTTGCATATTATCTTTATTCACTATCATGGCACAGGAACTACCTTTATATTTTACAAAAATACAGAAACCAACAGCTCTCTAGTTTTACATTTTATAATTTTCTTCACAAGAGAAAGGAGAATTTTCTTTATAATGCATTTTGAATATGAATTCCCTAGAAAGGGTTCTAATGAGCAAAGCTTGAATCAAATGACCATTCCGACACCATTCAACCTGACTCTTTGCTGAAGAATGGGGTAAAACTTCTAGAGCATGACAATCCCTGTGAAAACACTTAATTTTCATGGGAAAAGAAACAAATCCTACAAGAAAATGGGTTTGGGAGGTGATTACAACAATAAAGCAATAGGTATCTATTCTAAGAAGGGTTAGATGATTCATCCCACAGAGACATAATCCGTAGGTTTTAAGTACGATGATCAAATCTAAGGCTTTTCCTTTCAGAGTAAATACATTCTGCTCTATTCCATGATAATTATTCCCATCACTTCACCATTTGGCTAGATTAACCTCTCTAAATGGCCCTTCACATAGTACTCTCATCTTCACTCTCATTCCATCATTTCTTCTGGTCTCTCATAGCTCTAAATTGTTCTCTATCTCTTGCTGGTTTTTCTTAGTCAATGGGCTTTTATATCATCAAAATATCATCTCTGCAGGTTAAACCCATTAGGCTTCTCCATTTTCTCAACCATCCATTTTTTTAAAGAATTTTTTAAGAATTTTATTTATTCATTCAATCATTTTCATTTGCTCAGAGAAAGAAAAACACAGAGAGAGAAAGAAAGTGAGAAAGCAAGCCACCAGGTTCAAGACTCAAACCATGGTCAGCCATGTGGGAGTGTACCGCGCCTTAACCACCATACCACGTGCTGACCCTCTCAACTATTGTATAGCAAGTATATTTCATCCCTACTTTTGTTCTTGCTATTTTGACATCAATATGATTCCTTAGCTTTGTATATTTATGAATGAACGTTTTTTTCCTCCCTTTTCCTTTCCCTAAACCAATTATAAACTTTTGAAATCAGGGAACATATCTTGAATGACCATGTCTTTATAAGGTTAGCATGACCTTATGAGGTGTGTAGAGTTAGCAAATCAATTTAACAAATATTCATAGAAAAGTTATTATGAGGAACTCACTCTCTTAAGCACTGAATTAATTGCTTGGTTTTTCTTTTTCTGAATGGTGACTGATTCACTTTGTAATTTCTTATTTACATTTAATTGTTCATTTTTGTAAGGCACAATATGCATGGAAGCAGTCTGTGATAATCAAATGAATGATACTATAATATCCATCATGTTCAGCAAAGAATATTACACCATTTTATGCATTTTAAAAAATAAGAGATGCTCCATGAATTTGCATGTCATCCTTGTGCAGGGGCCATGTTAATCTCTATAACTTGCCAATTTTAATACATGTACTCCCGAGATAAGCATGCTTGCTTTTTGTTGTTGCTATGGTTTGTTCGTTGATATGGACATGGCTTTCATTGACAGCTTATGAAACAGTACATGATCAGCTATGATCTAGTTCTCTCCTGTTCTTTCCCAACTTTGTCTCCTCTCCCTAACATGCAGCATAACCAAGACCTCATCACACCAAATTGCTTATTAGTTCATGAATATTCAGTTATTCTTGAAGCCCTCAAACTAGAAACATTCCATTTCTTCTCTCTGGGATTTTTTTTTTTTTTTAATATCACTGTAAAGTTACCATTAACCTTAATGAACTCCAATAAATCAGAGCAAGGATCTTTCCTCTAGTCAGTCACCCACATCACCACCTCGGTGCACAGTATGCTCCCACTACACCATCTACGAATGAGCATCCACTGTTTACACGTCTCATCCCACCCTTTCACTATCCCCATTTGAACAAGTGGCTATAGAAACAAGAGTTCATTTCCTGGCATGTGTGGAAAATTGAGAAGAAAATAGCAGCTGCAGATCTGCCCGGAGGCTCTCAGGTACCATTTTGTAATTGAAAGGTGTCACTCTGAGGGGAAATGGACATTCAAGGCAGTGCTGTTGCAGACTGGTGTTTGTCAAAGAACACCTCGTTATGTTTCTGCTGAATTTTCCCCTTCCTTCCAATAGCTGCTTGGTGCTTACCAGAAGCAGGGGGAATCAATGTGGCTTCTTTGCTATTGAAATCCATTGACTGCAGTTTCTTTTTCTTGAAGGGAGAGAAAATGATTATGGTACAGAAACCAAATAATTTCATCCAATCAAAATATCCCCAAGATGGCAATATTTTTTTTAAGCACAGAGGCACAATATTTTTTCTTAATAATAATGTGTAATATGTTTTTTTTTTCTTTTCTGGTTCATTTTTGTGTATAGCCCCAGTGATAGAGATTGTGATTGAAATGGGTGAGGGAAGCTGGAATTATTAAGCTTATAAGAAGCTAGGAGCTTTGTGATTTTAGTACTTCATAGGCCAAACGTTGCAATGCCCATCTATCTATAGGTTTTTTTAAAGTTTTAGGAAAGGTCATTGTCTGCTTTGCTTGGAATCAACTTTGACTTTTCCTTCTCACCACTTTCCCTGAAATGTAATATTGGTTTCCTGGTTGGTTTTAACAGAAGACAGGAGATCTGGAATCAAGCTCACTATTTCTTAGTTGGATGACTCTAACTCCCAATGTCTCTCAACTTTTCTCTCTCTTCATTTTGAAAATGATGCTCACAAGGAAATTAACAATCTGTATTTCAGAAGGTTGCTTTAAATATCAAGTGAAATATGGAATATTAAAATATATAGGGAGATCAATAGATAAAATGCTTTATGTTGCTTTTGGTCATTGATTTGAGTTTTCATATGATTTTAGGTGTCACTAATTCCCAGTCTATGTAGGTTCAGGACTAGACAGAGAACTGCCAGCCAAATGTCCATTCTACTCTCAGTTCCCACACTTTATACCATTTCTCATTGTTCTTCGAAAATAGATATCTGGCTATAGGCAAACTTTTTTCCTTACTGAAAACTGAAAATCTCATATCTTTTACATCTATTATTTGTTCATATCATTTGTTCTTCCTGATATACCTTCTTTAATTGTTTCCCTTTATTCATGATAGAGTGCTTGTGCATGCACATGAAAGTGAAGCATGACAGACAGAGAGAGAAAATGCTCCCCAGGGTCTGATCACGCCATGATCCCCTTTTTCTAGTCCTCTAGCTACGCACAGGATCTTAGGCACTCACATGCATATCTGGTATACTTAGGCTGACCTAAGTATACTAGGATTTGAAATGCAGTGGCCAGGTTTGGTCTGGGTTTTCTTTGGCAGTGCATTACCCCTGTGCCCCAAAACTAGCTCTCTCTCTCTCTCCCATATACATACATACATACATACACATGTGTATATATACCCATATTAATCAAATTTTATTTTCTCTCATAGTCCCTCCTGATTATTTTTCTTTCAGAGCCTCATATCCAGGTGGACCTAGTCCTTACTCTCTCTACCATCACTTATCTTCATATATTCCCATGCTTACATCTTCAACTAAACATAACTTTTTGGGGTTGGATCAGCATTAGTCACTCGATTCTTTGTACATTATGGAAGCCAAGTGGTGATGATAATGGTGCCAGACAACATGATGAAGATGATGATGCTGGAGATGGTGATAGTATAGACAGTGATGATGTTACTGCTAAAAGTGATAAAGATGATTCTGAACCCCACCAGCTTTAGGTTCTGGGTGATTTGGACCACTCCACAAAATCAAAAGTATATACACTGAAAGGATAAATGGAGATCATTCAGTTACTGTAGAAGGGGGAGTACATAGGCACTAAGAACCCAGACAGATCATTAAAGTTCAGAGTCTGTGTAATATGATGGCCTCTGGAGTAGAGGATGCTTAAATTGCTGCAATATAGATGGGCTGGGAAGAGAAGTCAGAAAGGACCAGGTAGAAGACCTGGGGGCGTGAGCCTGATCATCAAAGCAAGTCCTGGCAATAAATGTGGAATGAGAAGTTATATAATTTGAGATGGCATTTCTTAACTTTAAGGTGATTGGCATGTATTCAGGACGTGGACAGCACTGTGTCAGATCCTAGTTTTACCTCTCACCATGTGACCTTGTTTACTTAATGTTGTTTGCATGTGTTTCATCTGTAAAACAGGGTCATATATCTCAGAATTGTACAGATTAACAGAACCAATGTCTATAAAATGCTTCTCACAGCGCTTGGCACATTATAAATTTTCAATTATAGGAGACAAAAATAATAAGGAAAATTCAGTAGATGAGGCAGCACAATCCCGTTTTAAGAGGAATGCATTGGTTTGTGGCAAGGCGTTGAAGAATTGGGAGACACAGGTCCTAATCCTCAACCAGTGGTTAACAGGGTAGCAGGACCATGATCAATTGATTGGGCTGAGACAGTGAGCAGAAAATTAAATCTATCATTGAATGAAAGCACCAAGTAAGGAGACTCAGGCAGCATCCCAGTTAAACAAAATGTAACAAAATTAGCAAAGAAAATCAGAAAAAATCTCTGTGCATACAGGTTTTAAAAGCGTGTCCTGAGTACAAAATAACAGGTGAATATTTAAGGTAAGGGATTCATTCCATACCACATATTCTGGAGGGCCTGAGGCTAGTGCACCATCTGCCCTTGTCAGAGTGGCTGAGGAACAAAATGAAGACCAACTTATAAATGAAAGTATACCAATCAAAGGAGGAAAATTTTACATATGTGCAAAGTGTCAGGTTAATTCTGACTCCTGAGTTTTGACCAGATGTGAAGGCCCTTGAAGAAGTAAAATACAAACATACAGGATCAGTTGGAACATTCCATGGAAGCTACACATAAGAAATTCAGACCCACTAAGTGAGTCAGAGAATCATTTCTTGAATCCTGACACCTGCTAACTGTGCAATTCTGAGAAAATAGTTTCAGCCTTCCAGACCCAATTTGTCTTTGATCATAATACTAATAATAACTGTCATTTATTGAGCAATGATCAGGTACCAAGCTTATATACCCTATCTGATTTCAACCCATTATACTTATGAGGGATAGAACTTTATTTTCTCAATCTTCAGATGAAGTCAGTGAGAGCTAGAGAGGATATATATTGGAAGAGGGTGATAGAGCCCAGGGAATTAAAGCCAGGATTTCAAACTGGGTCTATTTTTCTTAAAGATATTTTTGCCTTAGGGTGCATGGGCTCACTGAGCAGAGAGAATGAAACAAAGACATTGAGAGGGAAAGTGAGAAATCACCTCTCCCCAGGGAAGGGATGGTCACACTGCAATCCCTTCTCTTCTATTTTTCTCTTGGGATCTTGGGTACACACGCACATGTGCCTAGCTGAGTGTCAAGACACTGGATCCAGGACTTGAATTATGGTTGGCCACGTGGGAGTCCAGTGATGTAACTGCTACGCCTTCTGCTGATCCCCAAACTGGGTCTATTTGACTCCAGATTCTGAGTTCTCGGTTATTATACTTCATATCATAATCCAACTTTGCATAATTTTTTTTTCATGAAAAGTACCTAGGTGACATCTGATATACTAGTTGTTCAAGGTACATTTATTGAGTAACTTTAAAGGGTAACATACTTAAGTGAAGAGCCAACCTTAGCATCTTAGACTCCAGTACATGTGTAATTAAGCCATAAGATAACCAAGGTGACTCAATATTCTACTTAATCTTGGAATTTATCTTAAATAAATTTTAGAAAAATCAGCCAGAACTTCTATTTCACAATGAGTCTTACAGAATCTAATCTTTTACCTCCTTCACAATGGACAAAGCCTAATGCTTAAGGAAGGGAAGTTAACAATAACCTTGCTTTATCTTTACACCTATCTAGCTTTGGAGACAGGGAGGGGAAAGACTCTACCTGCCCCCTCCGATTTGACTTACTGAGAAGATTTTATCAGCTCAAGCATTACAAAACCACACCTACTTTCAAAAGCACGATTTAAGTGTTGTCTTGACTGACTCTTTCGGCTTCTGTCGCCTTGTTAATAATTGCTGTTTTTTTAAGAGAGATTTTTGCTATAGGGTACATGTGCTTTCCAGGGAAACAGAGAGAGACAGATAGACTTATCCCCCCTCCCCGCCCCCCCGGGAATGATGGCCACACCTCAATCCCTTCTCCATTCTCCTCTCAGGATTTTCATGCACCTGGCATGAGTTTTATTTTGTTTTCTTTCTTTTCTTTTTCCTTTCTTTCTTCTTAACTTTTTGAGAGAGAGAGAGATTTTTATTATAGGGTGTGTGTGCTCGCCAGAGAAACAGAGACAGGGAGACAGAAAGTGAGAAATCAATCCCCAAGGACACAGCCACGCTGTAATCCCTTCTCCTCCATTCTCCTCTTAAGTTTTGGGCAGGCACGCACACATGCCCAGCATGAGTTTTAAGCCACCAGGTCCAGGACTCAAACTGCAGTCAACTAGATTCCA